GGTGTCCATTCTTCTCTAAACTCCCCTCCCATCCAGGCTGCCACATAACATTGCGCAGAGTCCATGTGCTACAGAGTAGGTTCTTGTTGGTTATCCACTTTAAATATATCAATGTGCACATGTTCATCAACTGAACTGAACTGAATATTCCATTGTACATACATTTGTTTGCTTAAATCCTTTGTAAACAGCTTTCATAGACATTCTCCAGTATTTTGGAAGTTGACCATGTGTGTCTGATGCAGTGAGGTGGGAGGCTGGTCTCAGGAGCCCTGGACTAGGTGAGCAGAGGGCTGGAGTGAACAGAGCTGGGCCCACACTTGGTAGACACTTAATGCAGTCCAACAGGGTTCCATCCCTGGAGCATCTGGCTGGCATTTCTGCAGCCAGTCAGTCCCTGTTTGCGCGTCTGCTCTGCCTCCAGTAGGGTCCTGACCTTATGCAAATTACTTGATTTCTCTGAGCTCTACCTACCTCCCCATCTGATCAACGGGAAAAATACCACCTACTCCTTAAAACTGGTGCAGATGGAACACACAAGCCTGCACAAGCACCCAGCTGCCCCCTGCTCCGGCTGAGGCTCCCGTCTGAGCCCCGCTCGCTTCCCACGTGCTCCCTCCTTCACTCCTTTGCAGGGTGTGCGATCAGCCATCAGTCAAAACCCACTGAATGGAACCGACTTTGAGAGCCAGGCTTCCTTTCTCTCTGGCTCATTACTTTGAAAAGTTTCGCTTCACTGCTCTTAAAAATGAAGACATGTATAAATAAGCTGGCTGTGTCATTCTCCCCGGGTCACTGTTGTACTCCCAGCTGCTGTTCATCCAGTCCCAGAGGCTCACAGACAGGGCCAAGCCCTGGGCAGCTGAGGCTGGGGATGAAGCTGCGTGTGTGTGGTTGTCTGGAACCTTCCCCCATACAGCTCCATACAGTGGGTGGGCTCCATCAGCTCATTTTGGAGGCTGGATGGCTGGATGCCTTGGTCTAGGCCCTTGGTAGGTAAAACCCAAGTGCATCTCAACCCTCCTTGCCAGCATCAGCCCAGCACTGCAGGGACAGCGGGGCCTCACAAAGGAGGCCTGAGGGTGAGGCAGGCAGGCAGGATCTGGGCTGTGCCAGGAGCTGAACCAGCTAGCTGGTCACTCCGGTTTCTCGTAGGAGCTGCTGGGGAATGATTTCTGTGGAGGTGAGTCCAGCCACTGAACACAACCTGGGAAGTGCGTTCTCAGAGCTCTGGGCTTGAAGCTTCGGCCTCCAAATGTCCATTCCAGCCAGACACCTGGCACAGGGCTGTGCCTTTGATCGCTCTGGGACTCGGCTGGTTGGTTTGCAGAGGGTTGTAGCCTCTGTACTTGGGTCTCAACACCATCTGTGGTCTGTGGTTGAAGGGAAAGGGGAGCGGGGTGGCAGGGTCATGGGGGACGGGGGCCTGGGCAGTGTCCTGGCCAGCATGGAGAGCCTGGTCACTCCCCCTCCCCCGAACGTCATCCACACAGATCAGTGCACAGGCCCTGTTTACTCCACTTCCGGTTTACCTGCAGTCACCCCCACTGTGATTCGCTGGAGTCACGACTTAGCCTGGAAAATGCTGCATCACTGCAGTTCTCCCATGATCCTTTGGGACCACATCTGTCCAGTGACCGGCCCTTATTAACCTATGGTCGGCCTGGCCCACAGCGGGCCAGGATGGAATGGGACGGGTGGCTTTGGGAAACAAGGGAAAAGTGACAGTTCATCCCTCCCACTCCCGATCATTGCTCTGGGGTCCAACTGGTCTACTCTCCCCGCTAGATGAGGGCCCTCCAGAAGTCAGGCTCCCCGACTGCCACCAAGTCCTTCACTTCTCCGAGGGGCTCTTGCGAGTCACAGCTTGCCGCCCACAGCCACAGGCCTTCCTCCTGCCCCTCTTACTCTCTATTGCCAAAACCATCCACCTACAACTCGAATGGGGCTGTCACAGAAGTGTTAGTTCCTCAGTTGTGTCCAACTCTTTGCAACCCCATGGACTGTAGCCCACCAGGCTCCTCTGTCTATGGGATTTCCCAGGCAAGAATACTGGAATGGGTAGCCATTCCCTTCTCCAGGGAGTCTTCCTGACCCAGGAATTGAACCCAGCTCTCCTAAACTGCAGGCAGATTCTTTGCCGTCTGAACCACCAGGGAAGCCTCTTGCTGTGTCACAGACCTGCCTTAAAAACCTTGCTTGGCTCCCTCCATGGACTGAAGGCACCCAGATGGGTTTTTGCTTGGCCTATATTGAGTTTTTTAAAAACCTGGAAGTTTTGCATGAAAAGCTGGCTTTTCCAACTTTTCTTGAGATACCGAGCCCTATTCCTGCATAAGTACAGTTGGCTGGAGCTGAGCACAATGCCTGCCTAGGCAGGTGCTCCTTGGGGCACAGTCTCCACCACTCTCTATTGTATCACAGCCAGCATCCTTTCTTACTACATCACCTGCCTGGTATCTGCATGCTCCTGAGTTGCCCGTCTAGCCTCCAGGCAAAGGCTTGTGGTGTTGGCTGGGGGTGGGGGGCACTAGATGGCATGACTTTTGTCTGCTTTCCTGCTCACCCTTCCATTTCCTCCCTCCCCTCAGCCCTACCCCCTATCACACTGGCTGCCTCAATCTCTCTGCTCACAAAACAAGCCAGCTACCAACATAACAGGACTGGGAAATCTGGCGTGCTGCAGTCCATGGGGTTGCAAAGAGTCTGAGCGACTGAACAATAAAACAACCAACATGACTCTGTCCCCATGTAGTTGTCACTATTTGTACTTCTTTATCTTCATTTGGCAGATGTATATTGAACATCTATTATGTATGGAGGATCTGGGCAGGGTACCGGGGCTAGAAAGATAGTAAGATCCAGTGTATCAGTCTCAGTTCTCCAGGAAAAAATGGGAGAGAACTAATAAGACAGATAGATAGATGGATGAATGGACAGATAGGAAGTTGTTATAAGGAACTGTCTCATGCAATTTTTTTTTTTTTAAAGTCGCTCAGTCGTGTCTGACTCTTTGTGACCCCATGGACTATACAGTCCATGGAATTATCCAGGCTAGAATACTAGAGTGGGTAGCCTTTCCCTTCCCCAGGGGATCTTTCCAACCCAGGGATCGAACCCAGGTCTCCCGCATTGTAGGCAGATTCTTTACCACCTGAGCCACCAGGGAAGCCCAAGAATACTGGAGTGGGTAGCCTATCCCTTCTCCGGCAGATCTTCCCGACCCAGGAATCGAACCGGGGTCTCCTGCATGCAATTATGGAGGCCAAGAAGTTCCATATTGGCAGTCAGCAAGCTGGAGACCCAGAAGAGCCAATGGCACAAGTTCTAGTCCAAGTTCAAAGGCAGAAGACCGACAACCCAGCTTCAAGACAGTCAGGCAGAGAGAGGGAATTCTTATTCAACTCTTTTCAAGTCTTCAATGGATTGTGAGGCCCCTCCCCCAAATTGGAGAAGTCAATCTGCTTTATTCAGTCTCCTGATTCCAATGTTAACTTTATCCGCAATCACCAGCACAGACACACCCAGGAATGTGTTTGACCGAATGTCTGGGCTCTCCATGACCCAGTTAAGTTGAGTAAAACTACCCATCACAGCCAACCCCTGCTCTCCTGGAGCCTACAACTCAGCAGGGTATTCAGAGAGAAGACAAGGGATTCCAAATTAAGGAGTAAGTGCCAGAGGAGGTCTCCCTTTTATTTCAATCTTCACCTCAAATAGTATGTCCTCCCAATTTTTCCTGATCTCCCCCATACAATCAGTCACTCTCTCTTGGATGCTTCCAGACACATCTCTCAGGAGAGATGATTTTTTTCTCTCTTTTTACAATGAAAAAAAAAAAAGACATAAAAAGGTACAGAAAATATGGCAAAGTGGTCTGTACCTTAAAAGACAAAGCATTGCAGATACAGCACAGCCTAGGGTGGCCAAGTTGTCCCCATCTGCCCAGCTTTTCCTGATTTTAGTACTGAAAGTTCTGGATCCTGGGACCCCTCCGTCCTGGGCAAACCAGGATGGGTCACCCTAGAGTGACCCTGTTCTCCCCTCACCTCTGTGCATACCCCTTCCTCAAAGTCACAACCCTCCCACACTCCCCATCAGAGGAAACCACTGATTTATTAAAACTGAGGGCTACCATTTATGTGTCTTTCTTTATTCTTTAATCGATCCCTAAATGATATTGGAGGGCTATTTTGTACACGCTCACACCCAAATACACACACCCCCAGGTCTGGTCCAGAAAACCGGATGACCCTTTTCTTTTTTTTTGCTTACAATGACCACTTTTTTATTTATTTATTTTTTCCATTTATTTTTATTAGTTGTTGGCTAATTACTTTACAATATTGTAGTGGTTTTTGCCATACATTGACATGAATCAGCCATGGATTTACATGTGTTCCCCATCCTGAACCCCCCTCCCACCTCCCTCCCCATCCCATCCCTCTGGGTCTTCCCAGTGCACCAGCCCCGAGCACTTGTCTCATGCTGGATGACCCTTTTCTGATGGGTGGTGGCAATATGAGCATGGGAAGCAGTGGGTAAAACTTTTTACAACTTTGAAGGCACAAACTTGCAGGACAATAAACCACACAGTGCAAAAACCAGCAAGGGGAGACGAAGTGGGGGAGGGATGATGTGGGAGAGAAGGGGGATGAAAGCAGGAGCGGAGGAGGGAGATAGGCTGTCAGAAGAGGATCAGAGAGAGAGAGAGGACTCAGGTAGAGAAGGTCTTCAAGGGAAGAGAGATGGGCAAGGGATGTTTGGAGAGGTGGCTGCCAACTTCCTCTTCGGATGCTCCTGTGACATCTTCAGGAAAACCTACAGCCATTACCCACATGTAGGGGTGGGTAGACGGATGCTTCCAGGGGGCCCTGGGAAGAGGTACCAGAGCACCTCCGCTGATGGACGGATGAGCTGCGCACAGGGTCAGCTGAGAGACTCCTAGGGCTTCCCATCAGCGCCAGCTGCTTGTGCCTGCGTCCCGAGAGAGCCTGACAAATGGTAAGTGTTTGGTGTTATTGGTGGAAGGAGGGACGGAGGGAGGAAGGAAGGAATAAAAGGAAAGAAAGGAAGGAAGGAAAGGAAGGATGGAAGGGAGGACGGAAGGAAGAAGGGAAGGGTCCAGCGAGGGTCTTTCCAGCAAGGCCGTAAGAGCGCGATCGGCAGAGCAGGGAGGGAGGCTGCGTGCCATCGCGCTGCTGGGAGGCGTTCAGGGACTGTTCTCTGATTTCTGAGCCCCGGCGGGAAGGCAGGGAAGAGCTGGTGTGGGGGTGGAGGGTGGGGAGAGACAAAGGCTCGGAGCAGAGGGAAGTGGAAAGGGGCGGAGGCGGGCTGCTTAGCAACCACAGAAGATTTAGGGAAGTGGCAGGACCATTTCTCCCGGTGCCTCTAAGGGAGGATTTTTTTTTTTTTTAATATATATATATATAAAGGAACTGCTCACACGCCCACGCTGGCTGGTTGTGTCGTGACGGCTCAGAGTTGGGGTCCTCTGAAAGTCAGGGCTGTCGGAGGGAGGCTGGTGGCCACGTGTGCGCTGGGAAAAGTCACAGGAACCGGGGGAACATTTTCCGGCCCCTCAAGGGAAGGGAAGGAAGGCTCCCCGGAGGGTGTGGGAGGAGACCTTGCTCTCCTCTCAGCTTTCATTCGGCTCCACTGGGCGCCCCTCCTTCTAGGCTTCAACATCATGACACGAAGGTGTCTGGGGACTTTTCTTTTCATTCTCTCTTCCCCAGGACCTGCTTCAGCTCCTGCCTCCCCGCTGAGAATTCTCTGTTGGTTTTCTTTCTTAATTTGATTTTCTCTGGCTCAGAACCGAGATCAAAAGAAGAAATTCTTTCCAGCCTTTTAGGAATAATTCCCAGAATCTCCCATTGGAAATGCATACATAATTACCAAAGTTATTTTTTTCAAAAAATCATTCGTGCTCTCTTATCCTCTTCTTTTCCATCATTGCTGCAGGCTTGCGGAGGAACCGGGAGAGGGGAAAGTTCGAGAGTGCCTTTGGGGTTGCAGATTGACCAGCATCGAACATTAGGCAAAGCGGGAGGCCTAGCCCATTCCCTGGCAATGAGAATTTTCCATGTGTCAGCGAGGAACGCGAATAACACTTTTAAAGCAATAAACGCCACAGAATTACCTAATGGGAAGTTATTCCCTTTCTAATTTGTTTTAATTGTCTTAATTTCACCAAGTCTCGAGCTGCTGCTGGGTGGATCCTTAACGCCTTCCTGATACTCGCTAACCTTCCTTTTAACAGCAAACTTCAAGCTTGGAGCACGTGAGAGCAACAGGCTGCAATTTAATGACGGTGTTGCTCCGCATCGTGTTTATTTTGGGGGCCCGTCAGGGGAGCTTTGCATTGATGGCTAGTTCCTTTTTAGAAGAAAGATAAAACAGGTAGTAAATCACAGTGCAGGTGGAACAGGATTAATGATGGATCAGGCTTTTGGAACAGCCTCCAGGCTGTCTGCCTCCCATCCGGGATGCTGGATTTGCAGCTGGTAGGCTGCAGCTCAGGGAAGGGATCCTGTTTGAGGTCAGCTGGTCATGTCGGTCAGCAGCTGGCACTGAGGGAGCCTCAGATGAGAGCTTTCAGTTTTGGTTGGAGCCAGTCCGCCTGGCTTTGCAGCCCAGCTGCAGTTCGTTCTGTTCCCTAGGATTAAAGAAGTCCACTCATCAACGTCCACTTTGGGATACCAGGCTGTCAAGTGTGGGCAATTGCCAGTCACCAGATACGTGATTCACCTCTGGACACCACTGCTCTTTCCTCTCAGACCTGGGCTTTGAGTGGAGCAGAGCTACCCTTGCTCCAGGGCTGGGAGGCCGTCTGGGCTCTTCTCCCTCCGGGCATCTCATTCCTCTGACTATAATGGTTCAGGGATGGGCAGTGAGATGCAGAGAGATTTTTGCTGGGAGCGTTGGGGCTGGCTCTTTCCTGCTGGCCTGGATTCTAAGAAGATGAGCTAGGAGCTTCTACAGCCATTTCTGCCACAAGAAGAAGGGAGGGAGCCAACAGTGAGGGAACGAAGCTGAGAGACTGGGGGAGCGAGAAACCTGATCTTGATGGTATCGCTTCCATCCCTGGATCCAGCTGCGCCTGAAGCTAGCCTCTACCCTTGGCCGCCTTTACAGCTCCCCTCTGAGCCAACAAATTCCTCTTTCATGTCATCCAGTCAGGATTGTAGTTTCGGTCACTTGCAACCACAGGAGTCTTAACTGATGAAATGGCTCATGCAAATCCTTGGCCACTGAGAGAAAAAGAACTCCAAGGGTATGTTCTATGGACGTGGGTGAGTGGCATTGTCACTCTACACAAATATCAGCACAGGAAAGGCTGTCATTGTACTACGGAGCTCCAAATTTCAGATCATCGTGGGAGTGTCTTGCAGGCAACGCCTTGTTTAATCCTTGTAACAGCCCTGGTGCGTATAAATATTTTTATCATCATTTTATAGATGAGAAGATTGAGCTTCAAGAAGCCTCCTTGCACCCTAGTGTGTGGTCAAAGCTTGTTCCCCAGGACTTCGGTGGTCATCCAGTGGTTGGGAATCAGCCTGCCAATGCAGGGAACATGGGTTTGAGCCTGTGTGACACAACTGCTGAAGCCCACGCGTTCTAGAGCCCAAGCTCCTCCACAGGAGAAGCCACCACAAGGAGAAACCCACTCTCCTCCGCAGCTCCAGAGTAGCACCCACTTGCTGCAATTAGAGAAGGCCTGCGTGCAGCAACAAAGATCCAGCCCAGCCAAAAAATAAAATTAAATAAATATTTTTTTAAAACGCTTATGCCTTAAATTGGCGGATTGAGATTACATACACACAGTGCCAAATATAAAATAGATAACTAATAAGGACCTACAGTATAGCACAGGGAACCCTATTCAATACTCTCTAATGATCTATGTGGGAACAGAATCTAAAAATGAGTGGATACCTGTATATGTGTAACATCAAAAATGAACATGACATTGTAAATCAGCTATATTGCAATAAAAAGAATAATTTAAAAAAGTACTCTGTAGTCCCAGCCACCCCTGCATAGTAAATAGTTTTCTCCCTGGAATGGACAAAACCCTGAGACCGCATGATTGGGAGGGAACCAAGGGGGCGGTGCCAACAGGCAGCTAGGAACGCCGCTTCACGCTTCTGTTACAGGTGATGTGAGCACTCCTCCTCGTGTGGTACCCAGGCTCCATGGCTGACGGGGAGGGCTGGAGCTGCAGAAAGGGAGTCAGATTCTTTTTATCCCTGACCACGGATGGACACGCAGAAGCCCTGGGTTTAGATCAGAACACATTTGGACTCATTGGCTGGGTGACTTGGACATTTCATCATTCCCACCCCCACTGCTTTTCTCATCAGGAAAATGCAGACCCACGCCCCCAGGTTCGCTTGTCCCACCCAGCTACTGGAGCATCAGATGAAGGCAAAGGCGTGAAAGACTATTTGCAAAACAACAAGCAGGGCTGCAGGAAGAAAGGGGGTCATCTGACTTCCCAGAGGTGGATGGGCAGGTGTGGACAGGTGTAAACCCAACCACCTACATCTCCTCCTTCCTGTCCAGGGCTGGAGGGAGGCAAGCTGAGCGGTGACCTGAAAGGAACCTTTCTGTCCCCAAAGCAGAGAGAGATAAGAGCTGTGAAGCAAGAGAAGCGAGCCCTGCTACAGGCGCTTGGGGGTTTATTTTTACTCTCTTATCTGTATCCTGAAATGTCAAGCGTGGAGCCACCTCGCTGCCCAGCCCCCCACCATCCCCAGCCACTACACGTGGCAACACAGCCTGGAAACAGGCCCCTTCTCCTCCTGTTTCTCTGCCTCTCCAAGAGAGTCACAGTGCTATGGCGACAGGAGGCATGGAAACCCTGAAATAGAGAAGTGGGAGGAGAGACCTTTTATTTGGGTTCTGGAACAGGCTCACTTCCTCCTAGAGGCTTGGGGTGCAGAGGAGGCCCTTGGCACTGTTGGATACCTATTCTAAGGTTTCCTTATATATGGGCCCTTTATGTTGCAAGACATAGAAATCCTTATTTAAATTGGGTTATATAATAAAGAACATTTAACTGGCTGAGGCCACTAAAAAGACCAGCAATAGGTTAGGCTTCAGGTGAGGCTTGATCCAGGGACTTGATGCTATCACAAGAACTTCTTTCTCCCCTCTTGTCTCTGCCTTCTGTGGTGTTGGCTTCCTCTTCAGGCACCTTGCTGGGCTTCCCCACAACCTCTAGCAGTTCCAGAATCTTCCTGCATGGTCACAAATGGTTGCAGTGGTTCTAGACCTCATAGCCATAGACTGGTGCTCCTAAGGAAGAGAGAGGAAATTCTTTTTTGCCAGAAGCTGCCATGGAATGTCTTCTTATGTTTCATTGGCTCTGACTGGGTTCTGTGCCCATCCCTGAGTCAATCCCTTGGGTGCCGGGGTGGGATTTGAAGAAAACACTGATTAGATTGAGACAAAACCAGATTGCCAAGAACAGGGAAGCAATGATTTCCCAAAGGAGGTTTCAGGCACTGACCCCAAAAGGTGATGGAATGGATGCCGAACAACAAGCAGGAGACTGTTTCATGGTTTATTCACTTTGGACTTTCATCCTCTCCTGCCCAGCAAAGCCTCTGAGATTAGGGGTGACTGTTTTTATCCAGAAAGAGGCCAATACTAATTTCTTCTGGCTCCATCTATGGGTTTCTGTGCAGTTCTGAGTTCTAAGACTTTGAGGTCTGTCACTTTCAAAATTTCACCAAGGCAACAGAAATCTTCCCCAGGTAGGTACATAGGTACAGGTAGGTCATAGGTTCAGGCTGAAATGCCATCCATTTACCTACCAAATGCTTCCTCTGAATTCAAACTAAAATTCCACACCCTGGCTTACCTATTACTCACCCCCTTGATACATGTTCAGCCACAGAAACTTCTTTTCTTAAAAATATTTATTTATTTGGCTGTGATGGGATCTTTAGTTGCAGCAAGTGGAATCTAGTTCCCTGACCAGGGGTGAAACCTGGGCCCCTGCATTGGGAGCGTAGAATCTTAACCACTGGACCACCAGGGGAGTCCCTAACCACATTCACTTCCTATTCTTCCTTAAACAAACCAATCTTTCTTGTGCCACAGAGCTTTCCTATTTGCTCTTTCTCTCCATTTACAAAGCTCTTCCCTTAAAACTTTTCGCAGTTGGCTCCATCTCATCATTCAAGTTCTGCTCAAATGTCACGATTTCCAAGAGGTCTTCTCTGCCCAGCCTAGCATGTAAAATTATCTGAAATTCTCCTGTCCCTGATGGTTTGAGTAGCTCTCTGCCTTCACTAGTTGCAAGCTCTGTGGGCTGTCCTGGTCCTGTTGATATGGATACCTTCCTGGTTCTGTGTCTAGCACACTGTAGGTGCTCAATAAATATTTTGGGACCAGTGATTGAAAATTCTTTTCTGAACCCTTGGAAACTTTTAGGGGCACATACTTATATTTTCTTCTTGGCTTTAACTTATATTGTTGTTCAGTCACTTGGGGGCTTCCCTGATAGCTCAGTTGGTCAAGAATCTGCCTGCAATGCAGGAGACCCCGGTTCAATTCCTGGGTCGGGAAGATCTGCTGGAGAAGGGATTGGCTGCCCACTCTGGTATTCTTGGGCTCCCCTGGTGGCTCAGCTGGTTAAGAATCTGCCTGCAATAAGGGAGACCTGGGTTCAGTCCCTGGGTTGGGAACATCCCCTGGAGAAGGGAAAGGTTACCCACTCCAGTGTTCTGGCCTGGAGAATTTCATGGACAGTCCTTGGGGTCGCAAAGACATGGACACGACTGAGTGACTTTCACTTTCACTTTCAGTTGCTCAGTCATGTCCGACTCTTTGCAACCCCATGGACTGCAGCACACCAGGCTTCCCTGTCCTTCACTATCTCCTGGAGTGTGCTCAAAGTCATGTCCATTGCATTCCTGATGCCATCCAACCATCTCATCCTCTGTCACCCCCTTCTCCTCCTGCCTTCAATCTTTCCCAGCATCAGGGTCTTTTCCAATGAGTCAGCTCTTCTCATCAGGTGGCCAAAGTATTGGAGCTTCAGTTTCAGCATCAATCTTTCCAATGAATATTCAGGGTTGATTTCAGGGGATTCTCAAGAGTCTTCTCACGCACCACAGTTTGAAAGCATCAATTCTTCAGTGTTCAGCCTTCTTTATGGTCCAACTCTCACATCCCTACATGACTACTGGAAAAACTATAACTATAGTTATACAGTTATATATATATGACTATACAGACCTTTGTTGGCAAAGTGATGTCTCTGCCTTTTAATACACTGTCTAGGTTTGTCATAGCTTTTCTTCTAAGGAACAAGTATCTTAATTTTATGGCTGCAGTCACCATCCGCAGTGATTTTGGAGCTCAAGAAAATAAAATCTGCCACCATTTCCACTTTTTCCCATCTATTTGCCATGAAGCAATGAGACTGGATGCCAGATGTTAGTTTTTTGCATGTTGAGTTTTAAACCAGCTTTTCCATGCTCCTCTTTAACCCTCATCAAGAGGCTCTTTAAACTTGGCGCTCGGCATAAAAGAGACAATATACATACTACTTTTCAAATAAAGATCTTACTGCTGAGAGGATCTGCTCAAAGTTGCACTGAAATTAATCCAGAAAGATACCTGGGAGTACCAACTGCTTCTGTGAGAAATTCCACTTCCAAAGCCAGTGCCTGTGAACATCTGAAGGCACAAAACTGCAGAGGGGAACGTGTGGCCATCTTCTGATCCAGATTTCTAAGTACAGTGGCTAGACTGCCATTCACAAGTAAAACCAGGAAAACAACATGTGATGATGACACTCTTTACACCTTGACCCAATGAGACAGAGTGAGAAGAACATCCGATAGGAAAAAGATTTCACCCTGTCCATGGCAGACCCATAAGTCAATGTCAAAACCTCAGCAAGCTGATGCCTCAAAAAGAATCCCCATGGACACAAACTCTCCCTAAGGTTACCGAGACCTACCGGCCTGTGACAGTCCTCAGGACAGCCAGGTGATGGTGTGGATGACCCAGAGCAGCTAATGGAAACTTGAAGACACACTCCCTATAGACAGACATCGTTGTTTCACTACTCCACAGACAATTCACCATCTGGGGCAACTCAAGGATTCTTAGTCATTGCTAATTCACTGCTCACCAACCCTCGGAGTCGATCCCTCTCTTAGGCTCTGAACTTTGCTCATGGCACCCTGAACTTCACCTTATAGCAGTGGTCACCAACCTTTTTGGCAGCAGGGGCCAGTTTCGTGGAAGACAATGCTTCTCCAGACTGGAGAAGAGGGGGTGGTTTCAGGAGGATTCAAGCGTATTACATTCACTGTGTCCTTTATTTCTATCATTACTACATTGTGATATATAATGAAATAATTATATAACTCACCATAATGCAGAATCAGTGGGAGCCCTGAACAACTAGGCGGTCCCATCTGGGGATGATGGGAGACAGTGGCAGTCACTCCCAGCACTAGCATCATTGCCTTAGCTCTACCTTAGGTCATCAGGCATTAGATTCTCATAAGGAGTGTGCAACCTAGATCCCTCGCATGCACAGTTCACAGTAGGGTTTGCATTCCTCTGAGCATCTAATGCCGCCACTGATTTGACAGGAGGTGGAGTTAGGCAGTAATGCGAGTGATGAGGAGTGACTGTAAATAAAGATGAAGTTTCACTCACTCGCCCACTACTCATGTCCTGCTGTGTGGCCAGATTCCTAATGGGCCACAGACCGGTACCAGGGGTTGGGGATCCCTGCTCTATGGAACTCACCAACATTTATAATAATAATAAATAATCCATATTTCAGTAATAATTTGATTAATAGCCATCTTCCCCACTGGACTCCAAACTTCTTAAGGGCAGGGAGAGATCTCGAGTTTACTATGATACCTAGGCATTCTAGCTGTGCCTACCGTGTATACTATGATACCTAGGCATTCTAGCTGTGCCTACCGTGTAGACCATGCCTCCCATGTACTTTCTGAATGGAGGAATGTATAAATGAGCAGCTCAGTGCCTGCTGGGAAGACAACTCACAGTCAGACTGACTCAGTTGAAAGGGAGCAGATGCCGAATTTTTTCAGAGTAAATCAGACCTTGTCATCTCATGACTACCTTGTCTTGTCTTCCTAGAATAGCATCTGGCACAGAGAAGTGGATCAACAGATATGGGGAGAATAAACACATGGACACTTCCCTGAGAAGCTTGGTTACCTTCTTAAGATAAAGTCCTGGAAAGGCAGGATGTTATTTGGTGATGTTACTGGACATTGAATATTTGGGTGTCAATGTCCTGCATTAGACCAAAAGATACCATTGAGGTCATTCCCTTCAAACTCAGTGGGTCTGGTTCTAGGAGTCACTAAACCAGCAGGTCAGCATGGGGACAGGGGGATTGCAAACCAAACCATTATTTCTTGAGACAGTGCTCTATTGGACTGGCCTGTACCACCTTAGGTCCCATCTGGGGATGATGGGAGACAGTGGCAGTCACTCCCAGCACTAGCATCATTGCCTTAGCTCTACCTTAGGTCATCAGGCATTAGATTCTCATAAGGAGTGTGCAACCTAGATCCCTCGCATGCACAGTTCACAGTAGGGTTTGCATTCCTCTGAGCATCTAATGCCGCCACTGATTTGACAGGAGGTGGAGTTAGGCAGTAATGCGAGTGATGAGGAGTGACTGTAAATAAAGATGAAGTTTCACTCACTCGCCCACTACTCATGTCCTGCTGTGTGGCCAGATTCCTAATGGGCCACAGACCGGTACCAGGGGTTGGGGATCCCTGCTCTATGGAACTCACCAACATTTATAATAATAATAAATAATCCATATTTCAGTAATAATTTGATTAATAGCCATCTTCCCCACTGGACTCCAAACTTCTTAAGGGCAGGGAGAGATCTCGAGTTTACTATGATACCTAGGCATTCTAGCTGTGCCTACCGTGTATACTATGATACCTAGGCATTCTAGCTGTGCCTACCGTGTAGACCATGCCTCCCATGTACTTTCTGAATGGAGGAATGTATAAATGAGCAGCTCAGTGCCTGCTGGGAAGACAACTCACAGTCAGACTGACTCAGTTGAAAGGGAGCAGATGCCGAATTTTTTCAGAGTAAATCAGACCTTGTCATCTCATGACTACCTTGTCTTGTCTTCCTAGAATAGCATCTGGCACAGAGAAGTGGATCAACAGATATGGGGAGAATAAACACATGGACACTTCCCTGAGAAGCTTGGTTACCTTCTTAAGATAAAGTCCTGGAAAGGCAGGATGTTATTTGGTGATGTTACTGGACATTGAATATTTAGGTGTCAATGTCCTGCATTAGACCCAAAGATACCATTGAGGTCATTCCCTTCAAACTCAGTGGGTCTGGTTCTAGGAGTCACTAAACCAGCAGGTCAGCATGGGGACAGGGGGATTGCAAACCAAACTATTATTTCTTGAGACAGTGCTCTATTGGACTGGCCTGTACCACCTTCAGGGGTTACATATTTCAAGTTCAAGTGCATTGTGGCTCTTGGCCCTCATCACATACCCTGAAAACAAACAAACCACACCCAGGGGATGGTACTGTACCTTGTGAGACAGTCTGGCCCCAGGCCCTGCTACCAGGTCGGGAGGGTATGGAAGGGGGTCCTCTTTCTCCACGGCCACATCTTCCTTACTGAGGGATCTGAGTCCAAATGGGTCTCTTTGTGTCTGAAGTTTAAGCAACCAGGGGTGCAAATATCAGTTTAGGGTCCCTCCTTTGAGGGGGAGAGAGGTTCAAGGTCGGCTCTTGGATCACCAACCCAAAATCAAACATCAAAACCTCCCCCGAAACCATGATGAAAAAACACCATCAAGCCCAACTTCCGAGCACGCCTGGGTCTCCAGCCCACCCCAGCCCAGCGAACGGAAGTGGCTCACCTCCGAGTGAGAGGACCCCTTCCAGAACCAGAAGGAAAGAGAAAGGGATTTATGGGTTCGTCACAGAGTTGTAGGCTCTGGCTGGCCCCCAGGATGAGTTCATTATTTATTCTTAGAGACGGGACTCAAATTAAACAAACAGTGCCTATAAATAGAGCGGGATACACTCAGCTCGGTGTCACTGAAAGGTCCTTTTCACAGGGACAGACGCACTAAATGGACATTCTCGGGTTACCCTGCTGGTACTACGTGGGGAAGGGTTGCCCTTTTTCTTTGTAAGCGTGGTTTAAGGGAGGGGGGGGGAAGAACAACAGGCGAGTCAGACCTTGGGAATCAGCCTTGTTTCTGTCTTCTTCATCACCTGTTCTAAATGCTCATCCCCATTATATCCGAGAAGGAGCCCCTGAAGAAGGATGTCGTTCGATAAACACCCTGGCTGGGCAGATTGGCAGGTCCCTCTGGGAATGGATCCTGGTGCAGACTGTATTTGACAGAGTGTTCTGCTCTTTAAGATTAGATTGCAAACTTCTTAAGGGAAGGGACCAAGTGCTAAGATTTCTTCTTGATTTCTCCTATTCTGCCAAGTACGGGAATGACTAGGGTTTCAGACCTTCAGCTGTGAATTAAAAAGGACCCTCTTTAAGCATGGCCAGCTTCATGGTGGGAAGTATGCGTTCCAGGCCTGGTGGAGGTCTCCTTGGAGTTGCACTGAGCTTATGCTTGAAAGGGAATCACTTCTCCCTGAGAGACCTGTAGAGGTGGAAACTTCTGGAATAACTGTGAATAGACATCAAGCAATGAGGCCACAAAATCATGTCACTATAGTAATAACAAGAGCTACAATGGATTCCCAGGTAGCACTAGTGGTAAACAAGCCGCCTGCCACTAAGTGAGACATCAGACATACAGGTTCGATCCCTAGGTCAGGAAGGTCCCCTGGAGGAGGGCATGGCAACCCATTCCATTATCCTTGCCTGGAGAATCCCATGGACAGAGGAGCCTGGTGGGCTACAGTACATAGGGTCGCAAAGAGTTGGATATGACCAACATGACTTAGCATGCATGCATCATGGGTCCAGCATTTGGACAGGTCTTCAAGATATTCTGTTTTACACTTATTTGTGAAAGCTCATGTAGGGACTTCCCTGGTGGTTCAGCGGTTAAGAATCTGCCTTGCAACACAGGGAATGAGGGTTCAACCCTTGGTTGAACTAAGGTCCCACATGCCTTGGGGCAACTAAGCCTGAGTGCCACGACTACTGAGCCTGCACGCCACAACTAGAGAATCTATGCACCATGATGAAAGATCCCGCATGATGCATCAAAGATCTCACATGCCACAACTAAGGCTTGATGTAGCCGAAGAAATAAATTTTTTTTTTGGAAAAAAAAGCTCATGTAATCTTTCTAAAAACCCTATCCTCATGATTATTTCAATTTTACAGATGAAAGAAATGAAGCACCCAGAGATTATGGACTCTGTTCCAGGTCACACAGCTGGGAAATCGAGATAGGAAGTCAGGCAGTTTAGCTCCAGAGCCTGGTCTCCTGCAGTAGAAACTGAGTTCTTAGAGTAACCATTTATTGCTGCACATGCCTGGCGCAGGCCCAAACCCATAACACCCCATCAACAGGGAACCCGGGACAGGCCAATGACAGCGAATCTCAGGACTTCTGCCAGGAATGTTAGGATGAAGATAAGCTGAATTTCCCTCTGGAGGGGAAGGCAGCCTCAGGAGGTCCCATGGCCATCCTACCACTCCAGGGGAAGCCTTGCTGAGAACGAAAACAGCACTGAGCAAGAACCAAGCTGAAGAACAGATGCTGCTGACATCCTGTGAACCTTGATCCAGCTGGACCTGATGCCGGAACCTACTCCTCAACTTTGCACTTTGATGAGCCAATGTTTTCCCTTTGTTGGTGAAGCCCATCAGAGTTGATTTTCTATTACTTGTTGTTGAAAGATCCCCCACTGAGACAGGCTGGCCCATAAGAAAACATCATTTGGGCAAAGTAACCCCCCAGCCCCCTTCTTAAGTAAGAGCTCATCCTGCACTCCCCTTTCTCGCATTTAGGCTCTTCCAGAAACACATGCCATCCTGAGACCACACGCGTGCTCAATGACCCCATTCTCTGCTTACTGAAATCCCAAATACTGCTTTCCTACTGAGGCTTCCTCTGATGCGTCCTTCACAATTACCTACTGCCTCACTTGGTTGCCATGATAAGCTTATACACTTACTTAGCCCTTATTTTTATTTTGCCTTGCAATATAGTTAGCTATTTAGAAATCATTCATTAACATTTATTGAAAGCTTCCTACGTGTCATATACTCAGCTTAAGTGCTAGGGATTCAGGGGGAATCATATCAGCATATATTTGAGTTCTGTCTAAATTGCCTAGCACTATGCTTAGCACTTTTCCATGCATCGGTTACGTCATTGCACCTCCTAAAACCCCCCATAGGGTAAGGACAGCTAATATCTCCACTTTATATGTAAGAGAATGGCTAAGTAGGAAGTTACAGAGAGACACCGAGATCAAATAGATAGGAAATTGCAATGGGAGTCACCAGAGGAGGATGTAGATTTTCACAGCCAGTACTTTCAAATTAGGTTCACAATTCTAATCCCTCTGATTTCGCAAATCCCTAATCCACAAAGAGGATAAAAAAGAATCAATAGGCATTAAGAGAGAATTTTAGGATGATTTTTTTTCTTGGGTGGGAGGGCCGAATCCCATGCAGTCATTTACCTCCTAACGAACACACACGCAGAAGGTTGGGGGTTGGGGGTCGGTTAACCTGTTCCTGCGCCTCAGGTCTCGAGAGAGCAGCTTCTTGAGGTTCTACGGGGAGTTTGCTGGGCGGCCCTTGTATCTCGGGAGGTGGAGGTGACCCTCTGAGCAATCCACAGGATGAAAGAGGGCTAGAAAACCAAGAAGAGAAGGAGGTTTTCCTAATAACTGTCAATGGACCTCACATGAGCGAGGTGACTGATGGATTTTGTCTCAGGGTGGCTGAGAAGGGCAACCAGTCCTCTTCAGGAAAGGCTGGAGATGAATCACCAGATTCTGGTGGAGCAGCTGGTGGTATGAGTTGCATTAACCCACGCTGGGAACTCTTCAATACCCATGACCATGATCTGAACATGACCCTGTGTGGTACTTGAGCAAACCTAGAGGAGACAATGTTATCTTTTGATTCTAAAAGCCAAAGTAAGTACAGGCATACTTTGTTATATGATACTTCACAGATACTGCATTTTTCTTTTACAGATTGAAGGTTTATAGCAACCCTGTGTTTAAACAAGTCTATCAGCGAAATTTTTCCAACAGTATTTGTTCACTTTGTGTTTTTGTCACATCGTGGTAATTTTCATGATACTTTAAATTCTCCACCAGCAAAAAGATTGACTCAAATGATGGTTAGCATTTTTGGCAGAAAAGTCTTTTAAAATTATATATGTATGTAAATTGTGTATGCATATTTATTAGACATAATGTTATTGCACATCTAATAGACTACGTGTCTGACTCTGCAACCCGCCAGGCTCCTCTGTCCATGGGATTCTCCAGGCAAGAATACTGGAGTGGGTTGCCATTTCCTCCTCCAGAGGATCTTCTGATGCAGAGACTGAACCCACATCTTTTGCATTGCAGGCAGATTCTTTATCTCCTTTATCTCCTGCATTCTTTACTGCCTGAGCCACCAGGAAAACCCCTAATAGACTCACAGTAGGGTGTAAACATAACTTTTATATGCACTGGGAAACCAACAATTTTCTGTGACTCTCTTTATTGTGATACTCGCTTTATTGTGGTCATCTGGCATCGAACCCACGACATCTCCGAGGTCCGCCTGTACCTTCCTCCCCCACCCCTCTTTGCCCCGCATGCCCTCTCTCCTACCCCTTGTCTGTGTTCGGTGGGGGAACATGGTGAGTGTCTATTTCTCTCTTCCCCAGAGGCCAGCAGCACATGATGGTGGGTTACAGATGGAAGAAGAGGAAAAAGAGGCTCATCTTTAATGATAGTTTTAAGTATTATTAATAATTGGATGAGATTTTGGAAATGAGACTAATTTGTGACTCAGGAATCATAGAACTTAAAAAAAAAAACTACCAGTGAAAGGAAGGTCTTGGTTCCCACCTGAACTGACATCCCATGCCAAGATAAGGACTTAACCCACTGAAATTGTAAAGAGACAAGAAGAGCTAAGACCAAAGTTGCCTCTGTGATCTCACCCCCTAAGTTTTCTAGACAGAAGGCCAGGCAGGTCAGGTGACCCACTCAGGGTCCCAGAGCCAGTGAATAAGGCAGAACCCTGTTCTTATTGCTAAGCCAGTTCTGCCCTCCAAGAAATAACTGCCTCTTCTGTTCCTCACTGGCTTATTTTTATCCCGTTCTTCCATTCATCCTATTCTTACCTTATTCATCATCTTCTTGAATTCCCTTCTCCTTCCTTAACTTATAAATGACCCTGGACCCATGTTGACAGAAGCAGGGCTTCTGTAGGTAAGGTTATTCAAGGATAACTTCAATCAGGTGATTGAAGTCATCAATCATTCAATAAACAACAAGGACCTACTGTATATAGCACAGGGAACTATATTCAATATCTTATAATAACCTATAACAGAAAATAATCTGAAAAGGAATATATATACAAATAATACACATATCTGAATCACTTTGCTGTACACAAAACTAACACTGTATGGTAAATCAACTATAGCTCAATTAAATTTTTAAAAAAATGACTATGATTCAAAGAATAATAAATTACTAAGCACCAAATCTGGAGAGTTTCCTATTTCCATCTGCTGAGTGCTTTGATGGTGATTATGATGATATTGGTATTATTAACACAGTCACTGAGACTCATAAGTCCCAGGCCCCAGAATGAGTGCTTTTTGCATGCTTTCTGATTAAATCCTAGCCACCCTGTGCAATGAATCCTCCTGCCTGTTAGCCCCACTTAACCGGAGGGCACTGAGGCTTGGAGGAGCACCTTACAGGGATGCGTAGGCAGCCAGCAGAGCCAGATTCCAAACTAGGTGTGATCCGGGAGTTGTGCTCCTAGCCAGAGTCACTAGAACCTCACAGCTGCCCTCCCCGCATGGCTGGGAGTTGCCTTCAGGGAGTTTTCTGCTGTTATGCCCTGTTCACTAAAATGTGTATATTCACCTGCTCAGTGGGGTCTAACTTTTTTGCAACCATAGGGTGGGCTGTAGCCCACCAGTCTCCTCTGTCCATTGAATTTCTCTAGGCTCAAATACTGGAGTGGGTTGCCTTTCCCTTCTCTAGGGGATCTTCCCAACCCAAGGGTCGAACCCCGGTCTCCTGCATTGCATTAAAATTCTTTACCATTTAAGCCACTAGGGAAGCCAAAGACGTCTCCAAAGACTATTTATCATTAATACTATCCAGAAGAAAACTTCAGTGCAATAGTTCAGAGCACAGGCTTGGGAGTCAGAGTCCTTGGTTCAATTCATTAGCTATGCATCCTCTAACCAAACCGAGTTTTGGTTACCTAATGTATAAAATGGTGATGTAGTATCTTCCTCTTGGTATTTATGAAAGTTGTTAGTCTATTGACAAATATTCTAACTCCTCTTCCCCTCTAAGCACATAATAAAATTATTATTATACTTTTCATCCCCTTTGAAGTTAATCATGGCCATGTAATTTGCTGTTTAGCAAAATAAGAATGAAAGCAACTTCTCACTACCAGAGGGAAGCTTTAAGAATTGATGTGCATCCAATAAGGACCTATTGTATAGCACATGGAACTCTAAAAAAAAAAAAAAATAGGAGCACCTTACAGGGATGCGTAGGCAGCCAGCAGAGCCAGATTCCAAACTAGGTGTGATCCGGGAGCTGTGCTCCTAGCCAGAGTCCCTAGAACCTCACAGCTGCCCTCCCCGCATGGCTGGGAGTTGCCTTCAGGGAGTTTCCTGCTGTTATGCCCTGTTCACTAAAATGTGTATGTACCTGCTCAGTGGGGTCCAACTTTTTTGCAACCATAGGGTGGACTGTAGCCCACCAGGCTCCTCTGTCCATTGAATTTCTCTAGGCTCAAATATTGGAGTGGGTTGCCTTTCCCTTCTCTAGGGGATCTTCCCAACCCAAGGGTTGAACCCCGGTCTCCTGCATTGCCTTCAAATTCTTTACCATTTAAGCCACTAGGGAAGCCACAGACGTCTCAAAAGACTATCATTAATACTATCCAGAAGAAAACTTCAGTGCAATAGTTCAGAGCACAGCCTTGGGAGTCAGAGTCCTTGGTTCAATTCATTAGCTATGCATCCTCTAACCAAACCAAGTTTTGGTTACCTAATGTATAAAATGGTGATGTAGTATCTTCCTCTTGGTATTTATGAAAGTTATTAGTCTATTGACAAATATTCTAACTCCTCTTCCCGTCTAAGCACATAATAAAATTATTATTATACTTTTCACCCCCTTTGAAGTTAATCATGGCCATGTAATTTCCTGTTTAGCAAAATAAGAATGAAAGCAACTTCTCACTACCAGAGGGAAGCTTTAAGAATTGATGTGCATCCAATAAGGACCTATTGTATAGCACATGGAACTCTAAAAAAAAAAATTGACATGCAGGGACTTGCCTGGTGGTTCAGTGGTTAAGAGCCTGCGATTCCAACGCAAGGAATGTGGGTTTGATCACTGGTAGGGGAACTAAGATCCCATATGCTGTGCAAAAAAATTAAAAAAAAATAGAATTGATACAAAGTTTGGTTTTTAACTTCATGCGTTTCCAGTAGCCTGGGTCCCTGAGGGTCTTTGATGAACACAGCCCCTCCTCCCACTTCAAATCACCACTGAACATATAACAGGAAGGAGAAATACACCTTTGTTGTCTTGAGCCAATGAAGTTTGAGGACTGTTTCTTACCAAGCATAACCTTGCCGATCCTGACTAATACAGGGTTGGTGGGAGGATTAGATGTAACAAAATTAAGCTCCATTGTACACATACAAGAATGGCTATAAATTAAAAGACAGACAATAGCAAGTGTTAGCAAAGATGTGCAGAAACTAGACTGTTTAGCAAAATAAGAATGAAAGCAACTTCTCACTACCAGAGGGAAGCTTTAAGAATTGATGTGCATCCAATAAGGACCTATTGTATAGCACATGGAACTCTAAAAAAAAAAAAAAATTGACATGCAGGGACTTGCCTGGTGGTTCAGTGGTTAAGAGCCTGTGATTCCAATGCAAGGAATGTGGGTTTGATCACTGGTAGGGGAACTAAGATCCCATATGCTGTGCAAAAAATTAAAAAAAAAAAATAGAATTGATACAAAGTTTGGTTTTTAACTTCATGCATTTCCAGTAGCCTGGGTCCCTGAGGGTCTTTGATGAACACAGCCCCTCCTCCCACTTCAAATCACCACTGAACACATAACAGGAAGGAGAAATACACCTTTGTTGTCTTGAGCCAATGAAGTTTGAGGATTGTTTCTTACCAAGCATAACCTTGCCAATCCTGACTAATACAGGGTTGGTGGGAGGATTAGATGTAACAAAATTAAGCTCCATTGTACACATACAAGAATGGCTATAAATTAAAAGACAGACAATAGCAAGTGTTAGCAAAGATGTGCAGAAACTAGAAGCCTCATATGTTGCTGGTGGGAATGAAAAATGGTGCAGCCGCCTTGGAAAAAAGTCTGACAATTTCTTAAAAACTTAAACATAAGCTGTACAACCCAGCAACTCAACTCTTTATCTTCCTCAAAGAAATGAAATGAAAACATATCTCCACACAAAGACTTGTATGTGAATGTTTACAGCAGCATTATTTTATATCACAATAGCCAAGAAGTTGGAATAATGAAATGTTTGTCATACACAAAATGTGGTATATCCATGCAATGGAACACTATTCAGCAATAAAAAAAAGG